ACGATATCGACTCCTCGTATCGATGTCCAGTTGCGCTGATGTGATGGAGGTATGATGCTCTCGAGGATTGGTCTATGGGCCTTCGATCTTTGCCAGTTGAAGGAACTACAATTGGCGCTGGCGACTCATCCAAGGCGAAATGCAATGTGAGTCAAACACTGACACGCGAACTATCAAGAGAGTTCATTGACATTATGTTCAGATCGGCTTTGCAGTATTCCCTTCAAAACATCGCCGACATGCTGAAGGTGAGCGACACCATTATTGCGCTATGACTGGAAGGAGCTGATCCATTTATGTGGAACACGAATAGTACGTCCTCATGATGATACTGTCGCACCCGTCTCAATTTCGAATCGCGACCTTGACATCTTTCGTGAGCGTCGTCATCGGTGCTATGACCTACCTTGGCTACGTATGGAGGGAGCGTGGGCATATTCTGCACTGGCATGGCGAAAAGTTATCGTTGCTTGGACGCAGATCTCGGGCGGAGTGAAAGTATGAAGAAACTGCAGTGCCCGCGTTCGAACATACAGAATCAGACTGGCTTAGATGACTTAGATGCCTGTGTCAGAGGGTCTGTAGCAGAAACGAGTTACTCCAAATGTGCCATGGCTGAGCCTGCGGTACCTCTACCCAGGTCCAGTCTGAAAATGTGTTTTCGCGTCACATCTGGTGCAAAATTATGGATCGGCTCAACGCGGATGATGTCACCCTTCGTGTCTTGCATTGCAAGTGTCCCATACTGCGCTTCTTCGTATTTCCTTCTAGAATTCTCTTGTACAGTACTAAGTTTGTGGGGAGCGGAGGGTCGTTGGATAGTACAAACGAAGATCGTACGACTCGCGGCGGCCGGCCAGCTCTAAGCTCGAGTCTCTGAATCATTGTCAATTTGTGAGGGTACCCTGGAGAAACCAATCCGCACGTAGATGCTCATGAAGCTAGGCCACCAGTTTCTCTCGAGCATCGATCACAGTGGCTTTCAGCCTCTTTGGAAAGTCATTGAATGCTTTCTTTCTTTTGGGTGTAAGGTTGCGACATAGTGTTGGGTTGCAGGGTGTAGCAAATACGTATAACGTTACAGTCACCGCGCAGACTCTGCAGAGTCGCTTTGAGATACAATTGTTGAGCAGACAAACCACATTTTGCCACCCATAAGGAACGCCCAGGACTTCCCCCATTGCATGATCACACATCCCTTGTCGCTGTTTTCATGTCGGTATGTCGGTGAGTGATGTCTTCAACTTGAATGCCGAGGACTAGGGCCCATGCCTGGCAGTTAAGATTCGATATTTACGATCAGCACGCCCGGGTTCTTCGGGTCCAGTCGAGCGACCCGGCCTTGCCTGTGAAGAGCAGATTGAGTTATTCTGAGCCCAAGAGAGAGAAAGGAATACATACTTCCTCATTAGCTTCTGGATCGCAGGTCCGATCTTAGCGACACCGTCTGTCGAATGCAAACCCTGGCCTGTGTTGCTATCAATATTCGCCCGACTTCTAAGGAGAATTGAAGCGTACCGACAATAAAGTTGATCTTGGTATCGCCGCGGAGGCAGGCGGTAATGATTGCGTCCTTGGAGTATCTGATAGCCTCTTCCACATAGAGCCCGTGCAGATCCACTTCCCCCGGCGCTCTATCCTGCAGCACGCCGTCAACACGATGATATGCACATCGAACAACCACATACTAGTATACCTACCTTGTTGTTCTCTAAACACACCAAAAACCCGGTTGTGATCAGGGCACAGCATCGAAGCGCATCGCGGAAAGCGCGCCGAACGAACAGAGATAGAGACGTACTGTCAAAGATCCACTTGCTCGCCTGCAAGTTCAGGTCCTCCATCCTCACCTTGTGCGCCTTTCCCTGGTCAGAGAGCCCCTTCGCGCCCGCACGGTCGCCCTTCGCGTACGCGGTGGAGCTCTCCTTGCGGCACTGTGTCATCTTGGAGTGCTCATCGCTCGCGCGGGTGCGCAGGCTCTGGTAGTGCGAGTCTTTCTGGTTCTCGTAGTACAGATTCTGCGCGCACCGCGTTGCGATGAGTGAGGAGCAGTAGCATGAAGTGGAACGGACCTTGTGTAAGCCAGGCGATGGACGCTGTGACTTCCGCGCTGGCTTCTTCTGTGGCTTCTGCTGTGGCTTCCGCGGTGGCGGCGGCAGACGTTGCGGCGGCGGCAGACTTTGCGGCGGCGGCAGACGTTGCGGCGGCGGCAGACGTTGCGGCGGCGGCACATACTGCGGCGGCAGACTTTGCGGCGGCGGCACATATTGCGGCGGCAGAGGCCATGGCGATCGCGGCACTTCAATCGGCTGCTGTGGTAGCGGGGGCTGCGCTACTGGGAGGCTTGGTCGGTATTGTGGGGAAGGACGTTGTTGGGGGCTCTGCGGCTCTTCGGCGCTGCCACACAGGTGGCAAAAGAGCGAGCGTAGTATCTGGGTGAAGAAGCCCATGGTGCGATCTTATCCGGGGGGTACAGTTCCAGAGCACAGGTCTGCAGGCTTATATGTGCAGATATGAGCACCCACGAGGGGTGGGGGTGCAGGAACAGGCGACGAGGGCACCAGGAAGTCGTGCCCCGGGTGAGGCGCGCACTGGCACCGCAAAGAGCAAGTCTCCTATGAGCGCGCAAACTGTCAGATGAGAAACGGAACCATGATATATGGCTTACACCATCTTCCAATTGAGGTGCTTCGCGAGACCGCGTAGGCTGCCCCAGCCTCCTAGCAGTTGGATGCACGAGGAGGAGCAGGGACGTGGAGGTGCACAGGCAAGTACGCATAGCCTCCCGGCGTCACGCATTCTCTCCAAGCATCAGCCGCCTGAGTATACCGCGGGTGAGTCTTCACCCAGTGAACCGATATGCTTTCCGTGAATATTGGTTCAGGTGCCATGAGTGACATTCAATTCCTCATGTTCTCTGGATGCTGGTGAGTATGTTCGCACATGTCGCTCGAACATTGGCAACCACAACTTGAAGCTCGAGCACCCAATCATATGCACTTACCATCATGTTCTGACATCGGTCGTTTTCCCACGGCTTCGGCGGAGCATGTCCTCGGGCATGTGGAATCGATTGATGCTGTCCGTCTCCGCCAGCTACGCTTCATGCTCCCTCTGCCTGTGTTATCTCGGACACGCCCACTGCACAGAAGTGGGCTGCGACATCAGAGGAGTACCAAGGATGCGCTGTTGACGCGTGCTCGGATCACCAACCTCGGTCTCTTGCTGCTCTCTGGCGTCACCGTCCTGTCTTTACTCGTTAACCTAAGCCACTACTTCTCTGCGCCAAGTTACTACCCCCAGTCATTGCTCCATGGGACAGTACCTGCGGACGTGCTGTCAACAATACAGCGCGACGCAGCGCTTTCCGACATAGACCACCTCATTATGGTGCCTGGCCATGCAATATGGAGAGGGACGGACATCCAGCGGAGGCTAGACGACGATGAATGGATACTGGAGCCGTATCAGAGAGGGGGAGGGCGTGTCGCCGCATTTTATCGTCATATAGAAGCAGGGTGAGTGCCCTCCAACGCGCCATGTTTGGCACAATTGACCACTGCTGTAGAGCTGATCTCGCGAGGCGGGACGAGCATGCACTGCTCGTCTTCAGCGGGTGAGCTCGCATGTCTAGGTGTGCATGAAGATCTATATTCACGGCGTTACTGTAGTGGCCAGACGCGACCATCGTCGACCAGCACGGAAGCCGAATCCTACATGCGGCTCGCGCTGGCTGCCGGGCTTGTCCCAAGCCTATCCTCGCCAGGATCACGGCCGCGCTCTGCCCTCCGAGCCACGACAGAAGATTATGCCACAGATTCCTTCCAGAATTTGTTGTACTCTATAGCGCGATTCCACGAATACACTGGGCGCTATCCCTCTCACATAACCGTGGTTGGTTATGAATTCAAAAGGCGGCGCTTCACCGAACTTCACCGGGCAGCCCTCCGTTGGCCTCGTGAACGCTTCGACTACATAGGCATAGATGCGGAAGGCGAGGAGCTGATCAAGGCTCAGGAGGGCGAGGTAATGTTCCGCCTTTCACTGCCGTGCCTCTCACTCACGAATCACAGAGACTCAATGGGTACCTCCCGTACACCGCTGACATCTACGGGTGTCATGACATACTCTTATCCAAACGCCGTTCGCGGAACCCCTTCATGCGGTTCCATCCGTACTATTCCTCATCGCCAGAGCTCGTGAACCTCTTGAAATGGTGTCCCGGGCGGGCGGACGGCGGCCAAACAGCAATATATGGTGGTCCTCTGGTTTGGGATGTCTACCTTTGACACTGCTTGGTGCATTTGTACCCGTCAATAGCTTCTGGTAATAACTGATATTCACATATTGCATACAGAAGAGGTGCGCTCGTCCTAAGACTGCTGAGGCTTTGATCCTACCAAGCGATGATCTCGCTACGAAGCCAGCACGGGCACTTGGACGCGTGGAGTAAGCGATACTCTCGTCTGCCTCCGAACTGCAGTTTAAGCGCATATTGTGTGTCGGACTAATAGTCCCTGGACTGTACCGTATTCTGGTTGACGTCCCGCTGACAGTGCTCGTAGCCTATTTTCGGACTAAAACATTAGGCCTGTGCAATGGAGACCTAACATCGGTTTTACAAACAGCTGCCGCAACGGGCACGCCGGCGATAGTCTCCCGTAGTAATGGCTTCATATTATTCTAATGATGTACATTCAATACGGGCTGGTCAAGAGCTTGGAAAGCTCGTCGCAAAGACACTTACGAACCAGAATCAGCGGCTCAATGTATGTATGCCTTGCTAAGTTAGCACGGTGCAGCCGCGCAGGAGGTTGATTGATCGCTCGAGCGGATTTTCAATGCGACTCTGCGAGGAGGCAATGCACTGAAGATTGCGGCATTGCTATTCTATAGTCCGGGGTACCGGCCTCCATGCCAGTGAGCATGGAGCTGAAATGGGTGGTAATTCACTTGGCCAGGTGCTGTAACTTATTCTTGATGAAAGAATGTCATCACAAGGCGCTATAGCCAAGTGGTTACGGCGACAGATTAGAATGGATTGGTTGGTTCGAAACCGTAACGGGTCATGTGATCTGTTCCTCTATGAGGGCGCAGGTTCGAATCCTGCTGGCGTCGTTTTTCATTTTTTGCACCGGAAAACGTTTCGTGTCTCAAAAGCTCGCTTTTTGAACTAGGAAACACTCGGAAGGTGTGGGTGGGCGTTCAGTACATGAGGATACCGTTTTTGGTAACTTAGACGCCCGCCGCGTGGTGCCGGTGGCTGAGGCTCCAAGTAGGTATCCTGGCCGCAAGTTGGCCGCGAACTCTGCCCTCCTTTCGACGCCGCCCTGAACTGTACGTGTGTAAGACGCCGATGCTACGCCCGGCAGATCCGATATGCTTCAGCCTGTGGGAGCTCACCGGCACTGTGCAATACTGAATACTAGAAGGCTACCCGTGCTCCGCACGGAAAGCTGTGAGGGAGAACAGACAGTGCCAGTGCATGTCGTGGATTCAAATCAAGTGTCCAGCGTAGTGGAGAGTCTCCGCGGATGCCAAATCAAGGCGAAAAAGAATTTACCTAAACTGGCAACTGTGGAGACCGAGCTCCTTTACTATAGAAGATTAGTGGCACAAGCCCCGTGTGCGATACTCCGATGGGCGACGAGTGAGGGTTGTCCGTGGCCACAATTGCATGTACAGAAAAATAAATACCGGAACTGGGATATGCGGACCCTCACCCCCGCGGCGACTTCGCCGCCCGGGCGTTTCGGGTAGGCAGGTAGGCACAGACGTACGCTGGAACGAATGATGACAAATGTGCGCGTTGGCTAGAAGGACTTTCGAACAGATGTGACAAAGCAAGAAATTCCTATGAGAGATAATATCCGATATAGTGTATAGGGACTGATCAGACGAGCGGATGCTATGGTGATATAGAAGGACATGAAAGAGTAAGTAGGAAAGAGAAAGAACGAGCGGAGCAGAGCGGCAAGAAAACGACTGATAACAATGAAATGCGCAAACAAAGACACGCGCAGGACTGGATGATGACTAAGGATCGCGTTGGCTGGAAAGAATTCCCTAAAAGAGGGATGACAAAGCATGAGGGTCGTACGACAGATAATATCCGATATTTAGCATATCGGAATCACCACAATGCTGAGTGTATTCAATACTGCTGATGGGATTGAAGACTGCATGGAGGAGCTGGTGTTTTCCTCGCGGCAGGCGGCGACTCTCGATCTACCAAAGTGACCCATCGCTTGTGGGTCTCCCGCTTTGATCCTCAGTCTCTCCCCCCCTCTCCCTGATGTCCATATCCCGGAGTTAGGTACCTTTGAGCTGCCTCCTTCTCCGCCTGTGCAGTCGGTTTTGCGGCAAACCGCGACCTGGGTAGCCGGCTGTCCATGGGCCACCGCTGGGATCAGCCGTCGGCACAAGCCTGCTCGTTGGTTATGGATATTATCGCGCGGGTTCGAGGACCGTTAGAGTGACGGGTCGCGGTAGCTGCTAGTTCCGACCGCAGACAAGTCGTTGGTGAGTACCACAAGTTGAGTCACGCTACACACTGTCCTGATCTGCGATAGTAGTAGTCCTCCGCGGTGATGCACCGTCTGAATTGCCTCTCATCCTCGAGCTAGAGAGGAGATGTGCGGTCATCTCGACTCCGGAGGAGGTCTCAGAGATCGATCAATGGCTATGTGCGTGCTCGACCTCCTGAGGTGAGTGTACTCTTGTAGGAATACCAACCTTACCTGATGCCTCACCCGAAGCCGGGAACAATCCCTTCTGCCGCTCCTTGTCATGACACTGATGACAGCCTCGGGGGACCCCACACCGTGTCCTCCACACCTCTACGTACACTGCGTCATCTCCCTCCCCCTCGACGCCTACATCCGTACCGTTTGAGCACTTTGGGCTGTAGGACACGTACATCGCCCACCTCACCTTGACGCACATCACGCTGTTGCAGGTCATCCAAGCCATGCTAACCCTCCTCCGCGACGCGCTCGCGAAATCGTGCTGTGGGTTTGTACATATGGAACAGCTTAACGCGCGCACCGTGCGTGCATACTATCCCCTCCGCAACTCGAGGTCTGTCCAACAACATCACGTACGTATGCAATCGCGGTTGAGGATGAGAGGAACTAACAAAGCAACAGCGCAGGCAGCAGTATCGAACGGAACTGATACTCATGAATCATGACTGTGTCAGGCCGAGACCTTAACCATCGTCTTTCCGTTTGCCGAATGTATGTACCCGCTGGACACCTACCCGCTGGACAGCTACCCGCTGGACAGCCATCCCCCTTTCTTGCTCGGCATAAGCACGAAGGATAGTAGACCCGCAACCCGGCGAGGAGGGTGGCTGAGATCCCAGCATGATCAGCTGGCTGGGCATGCTCGGATTGATATGTACCACTTCTAGTATTCATTCCGCTCGAACCATGTTGTGCGATTATGCGAGAATATGGTGGAATATAGCCACCGTCATGGCATTCACAGGTATCTTTCTGTCCGTAGGGTATTAATAAATATATCATTGAGGTCATCAAGTAAGCTCGTAGAACATAGGGATTGACATCAATAGACTGCTCTGCTGCACTGTGCCGAACCTTCAGGCCCGACTCCACCTCGGCCACTTGCCCGGCCACTTGCTCTTGCTGCTAGGAGCGGGCAGGCGCGCACTCATGGGAGGGTTTACCTCGTGTGCGCTCAGCGGCGGGCCCTGCTGGCTCGGGAAGGTTGCGCTGCGCGGCGTGCCGAGGTACTGGCGGTAGGCAGGGGAGCGGGCACTCGGGAATGGCTCGTCGTCGCTGTCCGACTCGGTATAGCCTGTGCTGTCTGTGGGGCTCGGTTCACCTCGGTAAGAGGAAAGCAACGGGCTGCGGCAGCGGTACTGCGACAGGCGGGCGTCGGCGGTGCGGATCTCAGGGGTGGCAACGCGAGGAGAGGGTCGAACGGCCTCAACCTTGTACGGGTCTGTAGAGCTTGGGGCGGCAGAGCTGATTGGCGGCATCGTGGGGTCCGTGTATGCGTTGCGGGCACTCTGTACGGGAGTCGGGACACGGCTTTGATAGATTTCGCGAGCACTTCTGAGGGGGCTCGCGGCACGGGGGTCAGACAAGAAGGCGCTCCGGAGCGGGGTGGCCGCGGGGAGCTCGTCAAAGTGGCGGACGATCTCCTCCTCGAAGTGAACACCGCGATCGGGCTTCGGTATAGAGAACTCTTGCTTATGTCTAGGACTGTGCTCCGAGCCGGGCATGGATCGTGATTGCTCCGCTGCGTACTCTTCTTGGGTACGAGGGCTACGGGCTGAGGTAGCAGCTTCATCGGCGAAGCGGGTAATCGCGCCGGTTCGGATAGGGGACCCGATGAATCGTGCGCTCCCTGGTATAGGGCTACCATACGCAGTATGTGCCGAAGGAGGAAGGGGCGGTAGGTCGCTCGCGAAGGCCTCGCTCTCTCTATGGCGGTCAGGTACACGCATACCACGAGAGCTTTCGAGGACCACCTCTTCTTTGGAACCAAAGTACTCAGGTGAATAGCCAAAGTGCTGAGGCGCAAGGCCGGGGGGCGAAGCGGGGCCTTCGTACCCGGGCTGCAGGTGGATACGATCGATGACTTCGCCCTGAACACGAATCGTCACTTCGTTACTATCGTCATCCGATTCGTCGGGGCTAATCGCACTTTTGAAGGGACAGTCGTCCAGAGTAGCCCCGTCGTCCTTGACAACCTCGTCTGCTTTCTCGAGGTCAGCATTGAGGTCGATCACGACGGGGCGTGCGCTGAGAGAACGTTGCACATTGTTATCGCGGTCTTTCCGACGCCAGCAGTAGAGTGAGTAGCCTCGAGGTATGACGCTGTGCTCAGGGAGCACACGACGTGTTAGAAGAAATAGGAGGACATCCACCAAGCCTAGAACACTCTAGCAAGTCAATGACACGTATTAGACGACCCGCGATAACCACATACCACACATCAGCAACACAGTGTCTGCGAACGTGCTCACTGCATCTGGTACAGCCGTCCCAGACCAAGCCACGAAGCGCACAACTGCATTGGGGAGTATAAGAACAGTGAAGGCGATCTATGGCGAGTTACGCATTCAGCATGATGGCGCCTGGGGAGATAGCTTGTTACTTACGGGATAGATTAGCATCTGCCTCGCGATGGCTACACTATCCTCGTCGATCGTCCTCACAATCCTGGAATCACGTCGGAAATAAATTCCAGACGTAGTTACGTTGCCCCGCATGCTCAGAAAGACCAGAGTGTACAGCAGAAAGCTCAGGCCTGCACCCACGAAGAGCTTCAAGAGCCTATCAGTGCACAAAGCAGTGACCAAAGTTGTCTGACGTACCCAGACCAAATCCAATGCCACTCTCTCATCGCCGTAGGTAGTCGAAATCCAGCAATAGTAACCATTGATACCGTCTGAGACCCTCATAGTCAATACCTAATAGAAGCGGGAAGACGTTCTGCACTCACAGAAGGGACCCTTGTTGGCTTTGTAACCGGCCGGTCCGATGATTACAATGAGAAGAACGAGCAGCCATCCAGAGCAAAGCATCACGAATAGAGAGCGTCTACGCATGCTCCAACGTAGGAAGACAACGATGAACGTATGTAGAGCAATCATCACGGTCCTATGAGGACCCGTTTAGCGTATATATGCACTGAGATAGAACCTATAACGCACCAGACTGCCAGAGACACATCCGCGGAATGTTTGAGGAATCCCTGGTACGTGCAATACGATCCCGTTGTCACCGCCCCCGTGCTAAGCCATTGCACGCTCAGCATGGACGCAAATGCTGCAACAAAAAACGTTAGACCGTCCGCCGATACAACCCAAAGTGAGGCGCACCTTGCAACAAGTCACACCATAAAAGCGACACGAAGTACGCAGCAACGTGACTGCGTACGAATAGATGTGGGTTCACAGATTTGCGTGTGTTCCATGCAGAAATCTGAAGCTGCCTGCTTGAGTCATACATCGCTTCCACGAGAGTCGGGAGACGCACCGCGAGTGCCGCAAGTAGCATTGTGACCGCCGTCGCTGAAAGCCATGCGAAGGTGACTTCGACTGCCAAGCCGCGCGCCTCGGGCGCAGTGTATTGAACCTTGGT